GTCTTGTTGAACTTCATGAGGTTGGCCTGTGTTATTTATCTTCGGAAGGGAATTGTTCTTCTGAACCACATTGTCTACATGTTCTTGCTTTAAAGAATGTTTCGGCTGCACCCTTAGATGTGTGGGTTCTCTGCGTGAGCTTGGTTGGTACGTTCTGTTAGAGATAAATGTGAATTTATTAGGGGAAAACAACATTTTGTGCAGAGCCCGTTGTTGTCGGGCGATGAACAGATTCAGAAAGCTTTCTTTTAAACACGGTAACAGATTTGGGTGTCTCCTGATCCACCACCTGTCTTTATGTTGGATTCTCAAACATATTAATTAATACAACATAATTGCGAGCAGCGTTACAATCTTGTTCTTTCTGGGCAAAGAGAAGTGCAAAAATGTGATGTGAATGATAAGCAACGAAGTGAAATCAGTAACACTCTCAAGATATGAAGTTGTATCAGTTACAGGAAATCCCTCATTGATGCTACAAAGTAGCGACTGAGTGAGTTTCTTAGAAGTCACCAAAGGAGGCTTCGGTCAGGCTGTAACAGTAGAATTGTACAGAACTGTCGTGGAAAGCAAAAGTGTGAGATTTCCTGACCAAAGAAATTCTTGGAAACTTACAGACTGTCGCACTTGGGGTTTTTTTCGAGGTTTTTATTTGTATTTGTACATCTTGTCTTTATGAGGAAGCAGAGATGACTCAAGATAAAATTAGAAAATAATTCTGGTTTTGAAAAGAGGCTTTTTACTAACCGAGTCGTAAGACGTAGCATTTTGCATGCTTAGGCATTTCTTTAAGTAGGTAGAATATAGATGAGAAGGCAAGTTAAATATCCTACAATCAAAACATTACAATTATACTAAAGTGGGGATTTTTTCTTTTTCTTTTTTTTTTTTTTAAATTACAGAAAGCACTCCAAAGACTTCTGCCAGTTGCAGTCCTGCTCCTGAATCTCCCATGAGCTCCAGCGAGTCAGTGAAGAGCCTGACTGAATTGGTACAGCAGCCCTGCCCCGCCATAGAGACAAGTAAGGACGGCAAATCCCAGGAATCTAGCGAGCCGCCCGCTTCCGAATCCCAGTCCACAACACCTTTGCCGCTGTCGGGCCACTCGGCGCTCAGCATTCAAGAACTGGTCGCTATGTCCCCGGAGCTGGATACGTACGGCATTACGAAGAGGGTCAAAGAAGTGCTAACGGACAACAATCTCGGTAAATCGCTTCATCCTCCTTTCCTGACCGAAATAAAATGAAAGCGCGCGTGCTTCCGTTTTTATGCTGTATTTCAGGAGGTGTTTGCAAGAATATTTGGGTTTGGCTCTGGTCTAAGCTTTAATCTGTTCAGAAATTTTTTTTGAAAACTGGTAGAAAACCCTTTCAGATTGTCACACTCGACTTAAAATGTCATCGTACCCTTGCTTTCCTTAAGCTCTGCTCCTGGCTCGCCCCCATCTCCTCAAATACAGTCCAGCAGGCTATCAAGAAGACCAAAACCCCAAAATCAGCGAGGTCTCCTCTTGAGAAATGTTCTTTTCCCCATACCTGGATTCAGGGCCCCAGCAGTTGAGGCAGAGGTGAAGCAGAGTAGTCCGGCGTGATTTGAGCAGGGAGGTGCATCCCAAAAAGCAGAAACGTAGCCGTAGAGCTGGGAGGGTAAAGTCGGGCTCCGCTGAGGTTTAGGTGAGCCTGTAGCTCAGGGTGTGGGGCTGCGCAGTTATTTTGCCTAGAGGTGGGCAAAGCTACGGCTGCCTTTGCTTACGGAGGAGCTTTTGGGTGTTTAATGAAGCACACCATTGGCGTGGCTTTATATTTGGAGTGGTCGAAGGGAATAGCGTGGTTTGAGGATGGGAGATCCACGCTTAGTGTTGCCGCTCTGCCTGTAAGTCCCCAGTTCCTGCTGCGTGTTTTGACACTTGCTTCCCTCGCACGGCTCTGGCAAACCTTGAGGAGCCCCGGGAAGGCTGCCCCGGCGGGACCTCCCCGTGCCTCTGGGGCTTAGCGAGGGCTTCACCTCACCTGCGCTGAGGTGTCCAGAGCAGAGGTGGGCGGGATGAGCAGAAGTACCAGTTTCTCTCTGTTCACTAAAGATGGGGCCAAAAAGATTGGTTTTAGAGTGCTGGTGCTGCTGACATGAGAGGAATTCCATCTGTACCGTCTGAACGTTGTGACTGCATAAGGCAAAACCCCTTTATTTTAGCATGCAGGGAAACCTTTTTTTGGCTAGATGCAGACTAGCATACGTGACCAAGTATATTTTTTAAAGGGGAAAAACACTGGGATGGGGGAGGTACCAAGTTCTCATTTATTTGACATAATTTGAGGGGGAAGAAGAAAGTGGCCCTGATCACGGGCATACCCTGCACGAGCTTGTGTTCCCCCGAACCCAGCAGAACTATTTGCTCGTGCACGTTGGCCTGGGCAGACTGTGGTTGCTTGTTCGGTGGAGATAAGGTTTTGCAGGTTTGACACCCTGGTTTTTGCACAAAATGTTGAGTGCTGTACCTGCTCTGGTGTTCCAGAGAGATTAGGGGGGAAAAAAAAAAGTATTTTTGTTTACATTTGCTTTGATGCCATTTTTACTTAGTCTTTTTTATTTCCCATGATTTTTGTTTTCCTACAGTGTGGCTGACAAGCCTAAAAAGCAGCAGAAGAGCCAGGAAATGTGCCCCAAACTCTGCATTAGGTGTGGAACCAGTTTCAATGTCTCCTTTTGTGCCCTCAGTGTGGCAGTGCACCAGGCTCGCTCAGTGCACGGCTTTCTCCGTCTTAAGGCCACGGGGCCTCGTGAACCTGTCTTAGGCAACTGGTGGTGGCCCAGTTGGTCCAGTTTCACTGGCCAGCAAACACCACGGTTGTGCAAAACCATTTGAGAAGTGTTTGGGAGGGTCTCTCCTCCCGTGATTTTCGCATCCCTTCGATGGTCACCCTTTCAGCAAACGATGCTGGCGGCGTTAGTGCTGCGGGGTTGCCGGTATTCCTGGTCCCAAATGTTGTGGAGCTACCAGTGATTCCCTGCTGGGTAACACAGAACTCGGAGAGGGAAGGAAATGCAAGAAGCTCTTAAGGATTGCAGGGGTGGGGATTTTGCAGGAAGGGCCAGGAGTGACCATGAAACCAGCATCATCTACAGAAAGTTCTGTCCTTGAGGAGCTGTCTCAGTAGGAACCGACATGAAAGATATTAGGGCAAAAGTTGGGGAGAATTAGCAGGATTTTTAGGAAACCTGTGCTTAAAAATATTCCAGTTATTAATAGTGCTCTGATGAGGGTACTGCCTCCTGAGAATGGTTTCCAACACGTTCCCCATTAGCTTGGAAGTCTTACAGGTGTTTTATCCTGTCCTGCCATACCCTGGGATAAAATAAATGACACAAACATCTTCAGCTTTGTTCTTAACACCTAGAGAACATGATGTTACCTCCTTCTGCGTTTGCATTTTTAATTTCTAGGCCGTAGCTTGAAGTTCATTTCCTTTCATGCCATTGCTAGTACCTCATCTGGGCTGCTTGTTCCTGACCCTTTCGCAAATCTGTGCTGGTATTGCTGTTCTTGTGGCCACACAATAAACGGGACCAGTTGGTCTGAGTCGAAAGGGGCCGTTTTATTCCTGGTTTGACTGGGATCACTCCCCTGCTCCCATGTGCCGTGCACGGGAGCAGTCGGGAGAAATGCTCATCGGCTGCAACCCAGGCTAAGCCTGAGGTTAGAAACTGGGGAACGTGAAAGGAGAGGTGTTTGTGAGGGCAAATGGGAAGGGATTTTTGAGTAGCTGTCTTACCTTGCTAGTAGCTGGCAGGTAAATGGATGAGACCTTACCGATGTTTTAAGTACAGACACAGGAGCGGGTTAGCTCTGCAGTACCCACGATCTAGCATTGGCCCCAAATTACTTCTTTTGTCTGATTTTTTGGGTATTTCACTGGCAGTGGAAAATCACTTGTTACTTAGAAACTTAAGGGAGTTCTGAATTTAAGTTTCCAGTCAGTCTGTAAGAACCATTTTCAGGGTTAGTTGCAGAGCTTATTCGCAGACTTTGTCATGTTAGCCCTGACCTCCTTTCCCATTTCTGCCAGTCATTATCTCAGCTCCTTCCTCCAAAAGCTGTGCAGACCCACCTGCCTGTGCCTCTGAACGGGACATTCTGCCGCTTCTAGCTGGACCCACGTTCCCTCCCCTCCCTGTGCAGGCGAAAAAAAATCACCAGGGCCAAATCTCGGGATGGTTTTAAAGAGGAGGAGGAGACTGGTGGAGTTAAGCCCAGGGGATGGGTCTGTAGAGCGGGTATTTTCCACGACCTCTTTGTGTCAGGATCGGGTGAGGCTGTGAAGGCGAGAGCTGATGGTGCTTTTGCAAGCGTGGGCACCATCCACAGACTCCTCATCTGCATCATCCCTGAGGGCGTTGCTGCTGGGAGGGGAAGGAGAAGTGTTCCGCTCTGTGTTAGGGAGGGCATTCAAAAGCAAGACCCTGGGGCTTAAACTTGGTTGGGCCGGAAAGGTCTTTGGGTTACCTTGAAAATACGTGGTGGCTGCGCTTCTCTCAGAAGTCACCAGCGGTGACTCAGATGACTTCAGGCTCTGTCTGGTCACAAAAGTTGTTGTGTATGGGGCCGGTTTAGCTGAGGAAGAACGCTGAAGGGAAAGGGTTGGGAAGACTGCCCCTATGGTTGGGTTTGAGCCGCACAGGCCTTGATAAGTGAGATCCTAACGGTGTCAAACTGGCGTCAGCGATGCACATACAAACACCACACATCGAAAAGCGTGCGCTGTGTTTACCCTGCTGGACGGCAGCATTTTGAAAGAGAACTCAAATAAAGTATTCTTAACAGGAAGTACTCTAGAGGCTGTAAAAAAACCTGTTGGAGCGTAAAATGGGATTCCCTGTAGTTGGTGAGACAAGTGAGAACGCCACAGATAGTCCGACACAGAAAATCCGTACGCGTGTCTTTGAGGACGCTCATCTGGCCGTGGCCAGCTGGGGGGTTGCCTTGGTCGTGGTTCATTGTTTGCTGGAAATGTTTGGGATGCGCGGTTGGAACGAAGCTGTTGCACTGCTCTCCTGCATTAGAGCTGAGTAGCCTCACTGCTCTCTCTAGTTCCCTCATTAGCTAAAAGTTCAGTTTATTTTTAATTTCATTATTTTTATTTTGTTGCACACGGTTTCACTGTGAGGTCCCCATGCCCAAATATTTTGAGCTCCCCTTTCTGCCGCAGTCAGATCCTAAGGATCAAACTAAAGCTCCGTATTTACACTTTTAGTGGGGGGCAGAGCTTTCAATTCTTCTAAATGTTTCTTTTGGGTTGTCGAGTAATTCTGAAGTAAGAATGATTGACGAATGATCTCGTTGACTTTACTGTGTGTTTTGAGTGAGCCTCGTCTCTTGGCTGAATGAATTCATGCGATTTTCAATTTCGTATTAGGTCAGCGTTTGTTTGGGGAGACAATCCTAGGGCTCACACAAGGCTCTGTCTCAGACCTGCTGGCTCGCCCGAAGCCCTGGCACAAGCTGAGTTTGAAGGGACGGGAGCCCTTTGTCCGCATGCAGCTGTGGCTGAACGATCCCAACAACGTGGAGAAGCTGATGGATATGAAACGCATGGAGAAAAAAGGTAACTCGGAGCAGACTGCTGAGTCAGCTTGGCCGTTATTTCAGAGATGACCGGGTCTTTTCTGATTCTTAAATAGTATAGAGGCAGCATCGATCGCCTGTTACGAAGGTTGTGCAAGAGGACTTCATGACAGCTTTTTCAGAGCTTTAGTTGATGCTAGCTCAAGCAGATATATTTAAAAAGAAAAAGAAAGCCCAACAAAAAAACAACCCCAAACCCTGAATATTCACCAGCTGTCATGAAATGGTTGCTATATTCTCCTGTAGATTAATTACTGAGGCCCTGGTGTATTACCGATAACTTGCCTTACCAAATGAGAAATGTGAGTTTGGGAGCTGGCTTGGGTTATTAGTTAGCAGCACTGCAGCTGGTCGCAGATGTTGGGCTGGAAGAACTGTGCATTGATTCCTGAGAGAGCTTCTTGCCAGTCCCGCACTGATGCTCGCTAGAAGGAAAGACAAATGCAGTCTTTATAGAAGGCTATTTGAGAATAATTAAATCTGCAGCCTTTGTAGGGCTGGAGGAAGGTGTCTGTGTTAACACACGCTCACGGGAGGTGACGAGGTCATGAGTACCTAACCATGAGCGATCCAAGTCGTTACTGGGTGTTTTAGTAGGGAGTATATCCTGAAAATTCATCCTACTCTCTATAGTTTGCTAAAAACCAGAAGTTGTTCAGAGCCCTGGTTTTAGGATGTTTGTGTGATTTTACAAGAGAGACTCGTAGGCTGCCGTTATCAGCAGTTAACTAATTAATGATATATACAGCTCCCGAGCTATCCCTTAATGGTATTAGTGCAGGCAGCGTTAATCGCGTGCGCTGAAAGCGCCGCTGTCGACCGATGTCCTGAAAGCATTAACACATTTGATCCAGAACTTTGTGATTATATTAAAAATTGCAGCGAGGGAGCTTCTGGGGAAATTGTACTCCTGCGTGCTTTCCAGAAGAAATTCCAATCCTTGTCCCAGTAACCAGCGCGATATAATGCAGTGCAGGATCTTATCACAGATTGTGTATGAGCTTCCGTGGGGAGTGAAATCCACTGGGGTTTTCCACTGACAACTGTAACCAAAGGGAGCCGGGATGAGTTCTGCTGTGTTAGAAACATGGCAGGAATAAAATTGTCAACTAGCTGGATTTTTATAGCCTCAAAGAGAGTATCGCCCATAATGTGGGAAAATAAAATAAAAATAATTTAAAAGTGGTCCTGACAATATCCTTTCAAAACTATTTTGTAAACTGGGTTCTTATCAAGTGCTGTGCGATACATATGCTCTGTAGATGGCACCTGAATAGAGATAAGGCTGTAAATCCCTGAGACTCTGCCGAGCTCCTGAGCTGTGTAAGTGCTGTCCTCATAGCAGAGCACTCTAAAGTGAATCCAGCCCCGTAGTTCCTGCAAAATCCTTTCGTGCAGGTAAGGATCCTGCGATTTAATCTTCTAAATTGCTCTAGAGCCACGGTACGAATTTAACTTTCCCTTCTGCTGGTGTCAGTTAAAGAACAAGGCAGCTGTATCTGCTACCAGTGAAACATTATTGTCAGTTATTTCTTTGCCACGTTTTATTGAGTACATTAATAATTATGCCAAAGGTGAGCTGCATATGTCTTTTTTTTTTTTTCCTACCAGTCTGAACTCTGTGCTATAAATGAATGTTTTAAGAGGTTCTGAAAATTTGCAACGTACTTTTAACTAACCCCTCTGGAGGAAGCCGGGGGTTCAGGCTCACCAGGCTGAGACACTCTGTGCCCCAACTTTCCTGCCTTGGAAGAGTTCGTTCCTCTTTCTTACAACCTCCTGGTGTGCACGGTGCTGGCGACGTCGCGCTCCTCGCTGAACAGTACTGAAGCCTGTTGTCAGAAAAAACTTTACTTCCCTTTTATTTCCCCGTTATTTCGCTTTTTAATAATCCAATTGAACACCAGCTGGCAGCAGCAGTGGGCGAGAAGGTGATGAAGCTCAAGGGATAGAGTTGGCCTTGACAGGTTGGATCAGACCCAGATCCAGATCTCTGCCCAAATTACATTTGGGTTTTGTTGCGGGTTATTGTGGTGTTTTTTTAAATAGGTCTCCTGAGAAGTGGAGACTGATCACAGACGACTTCTCTACAAAGCAAATGTGTTTGTGACTCGGATTCCAGTCTGAGCCTTGCTGTCCCTGCAAATGTGCTGAATGATCTCCTTATGTTGTCTACACGCAGCACATATGTTTGAAATAAGAATTAAAAAGGAAAAGCCCTTACAAACGTCATCTAAAGTTTCCAGAGACCACCATCAAAGCCTGAAGTCTAGGTACTAGTTTGGCACGTGCTGAAGTGCCAGGGTTGTGCCTTTGGCCCAGCGGAAATTTCTTTCTGTATTGTCCTCCTGAAAAATCATTGCTTGTGACAGAACAGAGGGACACCCTGACATCCTCCTCGTTATTTTTGTGTTAAGGGAATACACAAATTTATATGATGTGTTGCATTCGCATGAGGGAGACCCAAGTAAGCCGTTGCACCTTTTGTGATCCCAGCGTGAGGTGACAAAAGCAGAGGCAGCCCTTGGGGCTGGGCGTTCTGGCTGAGCTCTCCCAGCTCCGTGCTGTCCGCAGGCATCTGACGGTGGGAGCTCTGACCTGCCAGAACTGCCGTCCTGAGGAGAGCGGAGATTCGGAGCATTCCGACACAGGGCTGTCTCGTGTTAACTCGGTCGCCTGACCAAATTCCAGAAACTCCAGTTAAAGAAAGCCTGAACACCTCCTGCATCTTCTGTGCAAGGTTCTCTTCTGTCTCGTGGCCGCCCTTAAGCTGCTGCTGCACAGTGCTTTAGTAATCGGCACGGGCTGGGCTCCCCGGTTCGAGAAGGGTAGGGAGCTGCTGGAGAGGGGGCAACAAAGGGCTGCGAAGAGGATGAGGGGACTAGAACATCTCTCTTGTGAGGAAGGGCTCAGAGACTTGGGGCTTTTTCGTCTGGAGAAGAGAAGACTGAGTGGGAATCTTACCAATGCTCTGAAATACTTCAGGAACGGGTGTCAGGAGGATGGGGCCGGTCTTTTCAGCTGTGCCCAGTGACAGGACAAGAGGTAACGAGCACAAACTTGAACATAGGAAGTTCCAGCTCAACATGAAGAAAAATTACTGTGAGGCAGACACAGCCCTGGCCCAGGCTGCCCAGAGAGGGTGTGGAGTCTCCTGCTCTGGAGACTTTCCAACTCGCCTGGACGGGTTCCTGTGAGGCTGCCCTGGGTGACCCTGCTCTGGCAGGGGGCGGCACTGCGGGATCTCTAGAGGTCCCTTCCAGCCCCCAACATTCTGTGATTCTGTCTTTCAGCCCCCTTGGCTGCGCTATCAAAGGAGACAAGAGAACCTGGTATTTAGTTAACGTCAGTGCAAATTTGAAGTAACACCTCGGAGTCTTTGAGATTTAAAGACCTTATATAAATGTGAGAGTATGTTGCTGGAATGATTAATTCCGTGGTTGAGAGTTGTAACAGATCCTTGAAGGCTACAAAAATAAGGCCGATAGGTCGCCTTGAAACGAGGCATTTACCTGTGGTCACTTTGCAGTCCTGCGTCTGGTTGCAACAACTTAAATAAGTGGCTTTTTATGGTTATTTCAAACACATGTAGGACTGTATCACAGCAGAGTGATGGATCATGAGCAACTCACGTTCTGTTCCATATCAGTGATCTCACACAGTAGGCAATCCGTGGGTAATCTGTCATGTTCAGGAAGAACGAAACAAGGGCCACGCAGATACCCCCGAAGGTTGCAGAGTGTGTTCAAAATTCACTTTGGTGATAGTAAGACACAGTGTAAGAAGGTCGCACTAGGTGTAGCACCGCGTGAGGCAGGATGCCGAAACCCCCAGGAGACAGAAAACCCCCCCAGTCCTGCAGGGAGCTCTGCCAGAAGTTGTGTGAGAAGGGCTTTGGATGTTGCAGTTTATTTGAGTGCGCTGAATTCTTCTTCTTTGTGCACCCTTAGCCTAAAGGCAGAGCTGTGGAGAGAGAAAAATTATTTTTCTGAAGAATTTGGTGGCTGACTGGTGTGACGTGCCCCACGTCGGTCCCGAGCTCCGGTCAGACCTCCTGGCTGTTGGAGCTTTAGTGCCTGCTGGGTTGGTGTCAGGCAGGTGTAACCTGGAACTTAATGGCCGAGCTTATCAAACTGCAGCTCTTGAATACCTAAACTCTTAAATATCTAGAAGGTATTTAACAGGCCATTGGATCTTTTATTGGCAATATTCATCTGTATTTGCCTTTTTCAGCCCCCTCATTAGCAGTACCAGTGCACGATACTGCCAGGTGCAGTAAATCCCACCTCTCTTTGCCTGCTGTAAATCAATCAGTGGCGGCGTTGCTGGGACTCTTCCCTTGCGGAATTTGCCAGGATCATTCTGTCCCCGCTGGGGAGGAGAGTCAGCCGCGGTAGCACCGGCTTCTGCCATCAGCCTCGCCGAGCGCCCTCAGTGCAGCAAGAGCGTTCCTGGAAGTCTATGTGTTTTTGAAAGAGAGGGACGAGGATGCTGTGGGCTGTTTTTTCTTTCATAACCTGTCGCCGCTATAGCGAAGATGTGTAGGAGAAATCAGCACAACGCCTGCCGGGTTATTCAGCCCATCGCTGGGATCTCCGGGCTCCGGGCGCCATCGTGTGTCGGAGACACGGCTGCCTCTGGCTTCCATAGTGGCGTTTCTAGTGCGGAGACCTGAAGTGTCAGAGAGGCCTCGGTGTGCACCTGAAGGGTTTGACAACCCAAACCATTTAAGCTGAAGCGAAGTGCAGCCGTCTCAATCAGGTGCTTGTGTGGAAGTTCACCGCTCCTGAAAGCGTGCATCTGAAATAAGTCGTGTTAGCTGAACCCTGTTACTCGTGTCCCACGTTCATTGAAAAAGCAGAAAACTCAGGCAGGCTTCCAGTCGATTTACCCTCTTCTCTTCCCCTCCTTTCTTCTTTTTCTGCCTCTTGCATCCTCCCCACTTTTACATCATCTCTGATGATGCCCCTTCCTTCCTGTTTTCCGAAGAGCTCATCCGTGCATCTACAACCTGTCACCGTCGCGCTTATTCCACAGCTGGTACATTCATTGATTTTGCATTTGTATTCAGCTGGGGCTGATCCGATGCGCTTCTCTTGCAGCCTACATGAAACGGCGACACAGCTCTGTTAGCGACAGTCAGTCTTGTGAGTCCTCATCCGCTGGAATCGACTACAGCCAGGGAGCCAGCCCGCAGCCGCAGCACCAGCTGAAGAAGCCCCGGGTGGTGCTGGCCCCGGAAGAGAAAGAAGCTCTGAAACGAGCCTACCAGCAAAAGCCATACCCATCACCAAAAACCATTGAGGAACTCGCTACGCAGCTCAACTTGAAAACCAGCACCGTGATCAACTGGTTCCACAATTACAGGTAGGAGGTCTCCCGGGAGCCCTTACTCACAAAGGGTTTGTTTTACCTGCTCTGGCGGGGTGCTCCTCCGCTGCAGCAGGTCGTGTCCGCTTCCGCTGGCGCTGAGCAGTCGCACGGACCTGAGGGTTTCGACAGCGGGGAGGTTCTAACTAACCATAATGCTAATGCTCCAGCCTAATTTTAAGTCATCCCTGAGGACCAGCAGTACTCACATATCGATGTAAATAGTGGTTTTAAGCAGAAAGTCTCGCTTTCGGGGTGGACATGGATTTGGAGATGTCCACTGTTGAATATTTATGAATCCCATTGCAGTAAGCAAGACCACTCTTTCTAACTTGCGTACTCACGCGGGCACACGTTTGCCCGTCTGTGCGTGCGTGCGAGTGTGTGTTGTGCCTGGAGGGGGATGCTTGGGAGCAACCGCTTCTGGATGGTGTCAGAACTGTGCTGCTCTCATCATAGAATTTTCCCCTAGAAGAGCGAAAAGAGGATTTTCTTTTGGATTTTGAGTCACTGAGCTCTGGAAGTAGGCACGGTGTTGCATTTCTGCACGGCCACGGAGGACAGGGAGGCAATAACCCTGAAGATTTACTTCGCTGTTGCGATCGAGTCCTGCTGAGATGAAATAAGATATTGGTCTGTTTAGTTCCTCACTTACCTTAGAAGGAACCTGCCTCACATTCGAACCATTAAAGTAGATTTTGGCCTAGAGACACCGATAAAAAGAAATCATGCTGGAGTGGCATATAAGAATTACAAGGATTTGAATAAACATGTTATCGACTGTGCTTGGGATCGGGTCTTAGTTAACGTGGCAGACTTTTCCCCAGGAAATTTGTGCTAATGAATATTGAACAGGTACAGTTAAGATACCAGATTTAGTACTATTCGGCTTCCTCACTCGGAGCCAGTAATGTTCCTAATTAGTCCAGATTGCCAAACTTGTTTGTTTTTCGAAACCGCTAACGTTGAAAGGGTATTTTTCACTTTGGCCCTTCTCAGCTTTTAACAGGGAACTTGCTGAAGCAGAAGCAGCACCAGCACAATTTACTGAAATCTCTCAGAAATATTATGCACAATAGTTAAATAATGTTTACAGTAAACAGTGTGAAATTTAAAAATTAGAACCAACGAGCAGTCATATTTACGCTGAATTTCATTGACTTGAATTTGCTACAGATGCAGCCTCTTTCGCTGCTCGGAGTTCTCCAAGCACAGGCCTCCTCTCTTCCAATTCCCACTTCGAGGCAATTATGTGCGAGTTGGAGGAGTGCCTACGAAAATATGTTCCCTTCGGCCTGACAGCAAAATGTGCTGTTCTCACTTAGGCAGACGAGCGCGGGAGCACTGGTGGCATGTGTCATCTTCCTCATTATCATGAGATCTCCTGTTTAGGCGTGCTGCGAGAAAGCGTGACAAGTCCTGATTGATCAGCGTGTTTAGCCACACCAAGCCACGCATTAATGCAGGCCAGGCGCTGACAGCTGTGTACAAAATAAAAAATGGATCAACCAGGTGCTATAGGCTGGTGGGTAGCACAAACCTCACAGCGCTGAGTGATCTGGACCTGCTCCCAGATGTGCTGCTCAGTCTCCAGGACATTTTTTAAAGAGGTGTTTGAGGCTCCTTTGGAGCCCTGGGTGCTCTGAGAGGTACTGCCGGTACTGAAAAATCAAAACATATGTCAGTTCTTTTCCTCTGTACAAGAATTTCCTTAGCTTTTGTGCACCAGGTACTCCTAAATCATTTGCAGGACGTTGCATGGTTTGCTGGGGGAACAGGCTCTGACGGTTGCACAGCTCAGGTATTGCAAGAAGTGGGCAGCCTTTCCCCTCTTCGTCTTCTCCAGGACACACTTAATCTCTCTTATACTCTCCTCCAGCCTTTTCTTTTCCAAACTGAAGAGTCTTCATACAGACGCAGTTCCTCACTGCCCACAGGGTGAGGAAGAAGTTCTTTACCCTGAGGGTGATGTGGCACTGGCACAGGTTGCCCAGGGATGTTGTGGATGCTCCATTCCTGGAAGTTTGTAAGGCCAGGCTGGCTGGAGCACTGAGCAACCTGACCTAGTGGGGGGTGTCCCTGCCGTGGTGGGGAGGATTGGAACTAGATGATCTTTGAGGTCCCTTCCAACCTAAATCATTCCATGTTTCTATGATTCTGTATCAGACCATCTAGTTTTTCTTTAATATAATTTTTTCTTCAGGTAAGCCAGGGTACGGATTTGAACAAGTTTGTCCTCCTGTCCCTTGGGAATCCTGTTGCAGTGATGCTTTTGCTTTGGGGTTCAGCCCCAACCTCACTTTCCCAAGGTGGTTGCTACGGCAGAATCTACCTTTATATCCACCAGAGGGGAAGTCAGCACTGGCATTTATTCTCCTCAGCAAAAGAAACATCCTCAGCAGGCAAAGAAATAATTCGCTTCAGAGTATAAATAGGTATAAAGGGTTGTGACATGTCTGCAAACTTGTCCAAATCTAAGGGTTTACATCCATAGCAATCACGTAGCTCTGAGAACATAAAAGCAAGTACATCTTGCTTTGCCGTGGTGAAGTACGGGACACATCTGAGTTTGAGGCTCTGTTGTCTTAAGAACGGTACAAAAGAGCAGGAGGTAGGGATTTCTGTCCCACTTCGCGCGTGGAAGCTGGCACACAGAGTCGGTGAGGTCGCGGAGACGATGCTACGGGAGCATCAGGAATTAAACCAAACTTGATTGAGTTGTAATCTAGTGCTCTTGGACCCTAGATTTCGTTGCTCTTACTCTGAGTGTGGTTTTCAATGAACTGTTCCGTTGTGCTTGTTCAGACACTGTGTGAAGGCTTGTGCAGGGAGCTTCAGCGCATACCCCAGGAGATCGCTGGTCTTTCGAGTCACACTGGTGAACGCCAGCGGGATGTGTTGGTGTCAAGGCCAACACCTCCCACCGACAGGAATGCTCCTGAATTTCCTAGCTGCTGTCACCAGTTCTTTACCTTAGGGATTTAACTACTGTATTAACCAGGAGCCAGACTAGATTCCAGAAGCAATACAGTGGGTGTGAATTCCAGGGATTTCCACAGACATCAAACCTGCACAGTGTCAGGCTGTGGTCGTGTCATCACCCATTATCCTGCTGGAGGTGTGAGGTGTTTTAAATGCCGTGCAGGCACGAAGCTCTTACCCATTTCCTCTCCTGACTTGGGGAACGTTACAGAAGCAGCGTGATCGATGTCCATTAGGGGAGATTATATGCAAAACCAGCCCGATAATCGGTGTTGCAGGATGCGTGCAATTAACAGTAATAGAAAATTAATGTTAGCACCTGTGGTCTTCTGTTAGGTGAATATTCTCCTAGGGAAAATTACAGACCCCCTAAATCCTTCCAAAGTATACACTCAGCAAGTACTGCTGGGATACTCGGTTGCATTTCAAGTCAATAGTATCATTAGCTTCAAAAGCAGTATTCAGATTGTGTTCTGCGTTTATCCTATTTTTTTCCACTGCGTGCTGCCTTCTGTAGCACATTTAGAGAAAAATTAAAAATTCTTACAGCCCTCAGCATTGGGACAGCGTTTCACTTGGGATTATCAAGACCCTTAGCAGTTCTTCCCAGGCTAGAATCAAGTGTTCTCTTCACTCTCAAAGATGTAGTTTTGCTAAATTCTCCCGGTATCTACAGTCTGTCCCTGACCACAAGTTGTTGTGGCTCCCTCTTGGTGGCAGGTTAGGACCTGAGCAATGGTCACCAGCTCTCCTGCTGCCAGAGCTGTGCAGAGAAAGAGGTAGCCTAGAGGCTAAGATTTTTTCATAAACTCTTCTGTATATGTGGCATCCTGACCTGTGTCAGCAGTAGTGTGACCAGCAGGAGGGAGGGGATTTTCCCCCTGTACCCGGCACTGATGAGGCCACCCCTTGAGTGTTGTGTCCAGTTCTGGGCACCTCGATCCAAGGGAGATCTCGAGGGGCTGGAGCGAGTGCAGAGGAGGGCGACGGAGCTGGGCAAGGGCCTGGAGGGTAAATCTTGTGAGGAGCGACTGCAGGAGCTGGGGCTGTTGAGTGTGAAGAAGAGGAGGCTGAGGGGAGACCTCATCGCTCTGCAACTGCCTGGAAGGACGGTGTAGAGAGGTTGGGGCTGGTCTCTTCTCACAGGAAATGAGCGATAGAACAAGAGGGAATGGCTGCAAACTGCAACAGGGAAGGGTTAGGCTGGACATCAGGGAAAAAAGCTTCCCAGACAGAGCAGTCGGCCCTTGGCCTGCCCAGGGAGGGGTTTGAGTCCCCATCCCTGGAGATGTTTAAAGGGGTGTGAGGTTGGGGGAGATGGGTTAGGGGTGAGCTTTGCAGAGCAGGGTTAGTGGTTGGACTCGATCTCAGGGGTATTTTCCAACCTGAATGATTCTGTGATTCTATGTGGGCATATTGGGAACGTGTAAAGTGAGAAGGGCGAGGGAGGAAGGACCAAGTCAAACGGCAAATGCCGTGTGTTTGGGGTGTTGCTGCACGCTTCAAGTAATGGGAGGCACAAGGTGGCACACGGGGCAATTTAACCACGCGTGGAGCGCGTTACTCCCCTTGAAACGCACTGCTTTCCTTGTCGCTGTTCATGTTCTGGAATTGATTTTTTAAATAAAAAATGAGGCAGAAGTCAGACTAGCTCATAGACTGACAACCTGTCAAAAGGCTGTGCTTCCCCAGAGCGGTTTCGGAACAGCGAACTTCATTTCATCTTCGTTTCTCCTTGGTGTCCAGGAGAATGCTGAGGGGGTTGTCCAGGTTTTTTTCCTTGCTTGTTTTTTGTTTATGGAAATGGTGGCTCATCTCTATAGAAATCTGAATTGCTTTGTATTTGCAAGCTGGTTTCCTCTAGATCTGCTAGAAATGTATTCGTATTTTTAAAATCACCCCTTTTCTGGTCCGACATGTCGCCAAGTTCTGCCTTCCCAATGTCAGACTGTTGGTGGGAATGGGAGAGAGCAAAACCTTTCTCGTCCATCTCTTAAACCATGTTCCATGCTGTAAAAA